GGTGCTGAGGCGGCGTGAATGCACTGAAGTCAGGGTTTTGAACCAGCCTGCCACGGATGGGGGAGAACCCCCGATCTCTACTAAAAAAAAAAAAAAATAAAAGAAAAGAAAAAAAAAAAATGTAGCCTGGGCGGTGGGGTGGGCAGGTGCCGGTAATCCTAGCTACTCAGGAGGCTGAGGCCGGAGAATCGCTTTACCTGGGAGGCGGGAGTTGCGTGAGCCGAGATCCGCACGCACTCCAGCCTGGGCGACAGAGCTAGGTTTCGTCTTTAAAAAAAAAAAAAAAAAGTCAGAGAAAAAGACATCGGCATCGGGGAGTTGGGATGGGCACGAGGCGACCTCGCCGAGTCTCCAGGGTGCGAGGTGGTAAGCAGCGCGAGGAAGGAGCTGGAGGTGGCCGGGACGAGACCCGCCCACCGGTGCACGTCACCGACGGGCCCCCCCCCCCCAAACGACATCCGCACACTCCCGGAGGCGGAGCTCCGGCGCATCATGGCGAGCTGGCGGCTCAGGACTCTTCCTCTGTGCAGTGCTGCTATTCGTCCCTTTTCCTTTTTCTTGTTCTGTGCACAGATAATTCTTTTGGTGCTTCCTATTTCTCTGCCTTGTCCTTGTTGGGCCGGGCTGGCGCGTGCCGGCTCCGACCGATGCAGTGAGGGGCGATTGTGAGTCGGTCGGCTCACTACCTCTTACGGTTCTGACGAATTTTTATTCCCTCATTCACGCGGCGCCCACTATCAGCCTCCCAAAGTGCCTGGATTACAGGTGTGAGCCACCGCCCCTGGCCCTCTCTGATTTTTTTGAAACGGGGTCTCACTCTATCGCCCGGGCTGGAGTGCAGCGGCGCCATCTCGGTTCACTACAGCTTCGACCTCCCGGGCTCAAGCGATCCTCCCACCTCAGCCCACCGAGTGGCTGGGATCACAGGCGTGCACCACCACACCCGGCTAATTTTTGTGTTTTTCATTAGAGACAGGGTTTCGCATTGTTGCCCAGACTGGTCTCGAACCCCTGGGCTCAAGCGAGCCGCCCGCCTCGGGCTCCTTAAGTGCTCGGATTACAGGCGGGAGCCACCGCGTCCAGCCTCCGTCTCCCTTCTAAGTGACATCCTGTCCGGCATCCCGCAGGCCTTCACATGGATGGGGTGGGAGACCTCAGGAACTCAAACACAGCCCGCCTGGTGGATGACTTCTAAGCATCTTTCAGTCACTTTGATCTTGCCAAGCAGAGAAGCGCTTCCTCGTAATGCCTCCAAAGTACACCTTTCACATGCTTGCGTTATAGCCTTAAATAACTGATGTCATTACTTAACTGTCCCCGCGTGGATGGGGAACAGAATGTATTTTCACAAACGTCAATTCAAGACAGATTTGTGCGAGAAACCACGTGGGGATAAACCTCTCCCCTCCAAGAACCTAGAATTTTGCGTGCGGGCTGGGAAAAGTGGGCGGGGCGTAGTCGCCCCGGCGCAGGCAGGTCCAGTCTCTACCCGCGGCGCACGTGGATGACGTAACAAGCGCGCGCGACGATTCCAGGTGCTCTGTGGCCGCGAGTGCGTCTTCCACGTGAGTATAGTTACCGCGTACGGACCTGGAACCTCCTCCAGGTGCAGCGTTTCGTCATCTAGCCCAAGCCTGGTCTGGCCCCTTCAGGATCCCCCCAAGCCGAGCTGTGTCTACTTGGTGCCCGCGCATTTGCTTTAGTGGAAGCGTCCATTCATCCTATCTTGCGTGCGTTCCGCAGACCCCAGGCATGGCCGACCCCCATGTAAACTTAGCCCCATTGTCCCATTCATGGATTCAACTAACAGAAAGTCTGCCGGCCGCTTACTGGGATACAGCGCTCATGCACGCAAACCGTGTCTCTGAGCTCTTGAAACTTAACATTTTATTAGGAATGATAGACGGAAATCAAGTGGCTTGATAAACCAAATGCCTTCAGGAAGACTGTCCTGAAAGTGGGGGAGGGGCTGAAGAGTGGTGAGAATCAAGAGTTCATTCAGTCAGTCCACAAGTGTTAGAATTTTTTTTGCGTTTCAAGCCCTGGTATTGTTCTAAGCCTTGGTAATTCAATGGAAACGAAGCCGCAACATCCCATGCCCACGTAGAGATTTTTTTCTAGTGGGGAATATAGAGCGAAAAGTAAAAACATCCCATAGTGATAAGCGCTATGTAGGAAATAAAAATAGGGCCATCTGATAGTAACTACTTAGTGGCTAGTGAAGCCATTTCCACGAAGGCGAATCACCAGAAATCTAAATAACAAGAAGGAGCTAGCCATGCATATGTCAGGGTGAAAAAAATGCCTTCCAGGTCTGAGCTTGGCAAGTTAGAGAAATAGAAAAGAAGCTAATGTGGTTGTGCATTGTGGGTGAAAAAGAGAATGGTGTGAGATAGGGTTGGAGAGGTAGGCCGGAGAGTGGCCACACTTGGTAAACCAGGATGCTGAGGTCGAATTTATACCATGTGTAATGGGAAGCCATAATCCACTTTATGCTGATGTGTGACAAATGAATTGTGATTATGCAGTGGTCAGGAGGCTAATGCATTGGTCCAGGTGAGTGATGATGGTGTCTTACTTGAACTAGAGTGAGGTAGAGATGAAGAGATGAGAGATTTGAGACATGATTAGAAATAGATTTCCTGGTGGATTGGATTTAGAGTCTGAGGGAAAGAGAATTCAGCATGACTTCTGTGTTTTTGTCTTGAGCAACAAACTGGATGATGGTATTGTTTACTGAGATGTCAAGACTAGGGGAACAGCAGAGTTTGTTGAGTAAAGCCAGGGTCCCGCTGAGAGGCAATGGGACCAGAAATTGGATAGGTAGTTTGGGATAGATGGGGAGGGCCTTTGAATGTGAGGCTAAAAGTATTAACTGTAATAGTTCTGTTGCCTGATGCACACTGGAGGTAAATACACCAAAACACCAGGTTGCAGCAGAGAAAGAGGTTTAATCATAGGGCTGCTGCAAAGGAGACAGGAGGAGACCTCAAATCCATCTCCCAGAGTACTTTGGGGCCAGGGTTTTTAAGGGTTTGGAGTAGGATTGGGCTGAAGTGTGAAAATCATTGATTGAAGAGTGCAGGGTGAGGTCATGAAACAGGGAGATGAAGAAACTGATTCTCATGCTCACTTGGTTTTTCTTTTTTCTTTTTTTTTGAAAGATGAGGTCTGCCTGTTGTGTTGGCTCACGCCTATAATCCTAGCACTTTGGGAGGCCGAGGCGGGCGGATCACGAGGTCAAGAGATCGAGACCATCCTGGCCAACACGGTGAATCCCCATCTCTACTAAAAATATAAAAATTAGCTGGGCGTGGTGGTGCACGCCTGTAGTCTCGGCTACTGGGGAGACTGCGACAGGAGAATCGCTTGAACCCGGGAGGCAGAGGTTGCAGTGAGCCAAGATGGTGTCACTGCACTCCAGCCTTGCGACAGAGCGAGACTCCATCTCAGAAAAAAAAAAAAAGAAAGATAAAGAAAGACGGGGTCTTGCTGTGTCACCCAGGCTGGAGTGCAGTGGCACAGTTGTCGCTCACTGCAGCCTCAAACTCATGGGCTCAAGTGATCCTCTTGCCTCAGCCTCTTGAGTAGCTGGGACCACAGGTATACGCCACCATGTCCAGCTAATTTTTAATTTTTTTAATGAAGACAGGGTCTTACCATGTTGCCCAGAGCTGGTCTCAAACTCCTGGGCTCAAGCAGTCTACTGCTTTGGCCTCCCAAAGTGCTGGGATTACAGGCGTTGGGATTATAGGCGTGAGCCACTGCTCCTGGCTTCTGTGGGAGTCTTTGAGCTGGGTGGAGTCAGCTGTTCTGCTGGAATTCAGGATCTGCTTAAGCAATTCGTTTGTTTGTTTGTTTGTTTGAGTCACAGTCTTGTTCTGTCACCCAGGCTGGAGTGCAATGGCTCAATCTTGGCTCACTGCAACCTCTGCCTCCCAGGTTCAAGCGATTCTCCTGCCTCAGCCTCCCGAGTAGCTGGGACTACAGGCGCCCGCCACCACGCCCGGCTAATTTTTTGTATCTTTAATAGAGACAGGGTCTCGCCATGTCGGCGAGGTTGGTCTCGAACTCCTGACCTCAAGTGATCTGCCTGTCTTGGCCTCCTAAAGTGCGAGGATTACAGATGTGAGCCACCATGCACGGCTCTGCTTAAGCAATTCTTTTTTTTTTTTTTTTTTAAGTAATTTATGGGCTGGAATGGTGGCACATGCCTGTGATCCCAACACATTGGGAGTCCGAGGTGGGCAGATCACTTGAGGTCAGGAGTTGGAGACCAGCCTGGCGAACATGGGGAAACCCCATCTCTACTAATAATACAAAAATTAGTTGGGCGTGGTGGCACATGCCTGTAATCACAGCTACTCAGGAGACTGAGTCAGGAGAATTGCTTGAACCCAGGAGGCAGAAGTTGCAGAGAGCCGTGATTGTGCCACTGCACTCCAACCTGGGTGACAGAGTGAATACATCTCAAAAAAAAAGAAAAAGAAAATAAGTAAATAAATAAATTATGACATGATATCATCAACCAATAAATTATTAAACAAAAGCTTTGTGATCAGAGATCCTTTTTTTGTTTGTTTGTTTTGAGATGGAGTTTTGCTCTTGTTGCCCAGGCTGGAGTGCAATGGCTCGATCTCAGCTCACTGCAACTTCTGCCTCCCAGGTTCAAGTGATTCTCCTGCCTCAGCCTCCCAAGTAGCTGTGATTACAGGCATGCACCACCATGCCCGGCTAATTTTGTATTTTTTTGAGTAGAGATGAGGTTTTACCATGTTGGTCAGGCTGGTCTCAAACTCCTGATCTCAGGTTCTCACCGTGTTGCCCAGGCTGTAGTGCAGTGGCTTGATCACGGCTGAATGGAGCCTCCGCCTCCTCGGGCTCAAGTGATCTTCCCACCTCAGCCTCCCCAGTTGCTGGGACTACAGGCACATGCCAGCACATCCAGCTGATTTTTGTATCTTTTTTGAGAGAGATGGGGTTTTTGCCACGTTGCCCAGGTTGTTCTCAAACGCCTATGCTCAGTCCTCCCACCTCAGCCTCCAAAGGGCTAAGGTTACAGGTGTGGGCCACTGTGCCCAGCCCAATCTGGCCTCTTCTTATAAGGGCAAGTTATAAGAGGTTTGGTGAGATTAGTAGCTCATTCATGGGAGTTCCACTTTCATGACCTAATTACCTCACAGAGGCCCCACCTCCAAATACCATAACATTGAGGATTAGGGTTTCTTTCTTTTTTTTTTTTTTTACCAGAAACATGTACACTTTATTGAATGCCATTGTAGAAAAGTATGTGAGGATAAAGGGCTGATACAGGACTCGGCTCTGGGGGCAGGGCGAGGAATGGAAGGTGGAGCACGTGGGACACAGGTTATGGGCAGAGCTCCTGGCCTGAATGATGTCTCCTGACCTATTGATGGGCTTGGAAGATCAATACTGGGACGACAATGAGCAGAATGGTCATGAGGATGCCCAAAATCAGGGCCCAGATGTTCAGGCACTTGGCGGTGGAGGCATAGGCCTGGGCCCCAGTCAGGTCGCCAACCATCTTCCTGTCCCTAGACTTCACGGAGTAGGCGAACGCTATGAAGCCCAGGCAGCAGGGGTTCATGAAGAGGGTGTTGAACAGGGACCAGACGACATGGTCGGGCACGGAGGTTTCGCTGCGGATATGGATCACGGTGGACGTCGGGGGAGCAGGGTTGTGGGGCGCCCCCAGCATAGCCACCTCGTGCTCTTCCTTGAGCATCTCATAGTTGGGAGGCTGGCCGCTGTTGACAGGAGAGAAGAAGGTTTGGACCGTGTGGTTCATGGTGTCCTGTGAAGGCCAGCGGTGGTCGGGTTAGTGGGATCGTTCTCCAGGATTAGGGTTTCAATATATGAATTGGGAGAGGGAGATACACAAACATTCCATCCATGGCTGATGCCATTTCTCTCAGGAAATTTTTCCTGACACCTAAAGTGCAGGATTGGTGTTCACAGTCCCCTGACCTTCACTACATGGGACTGGAAATGTCTGGGTACTTGGCCTTTCTCCCCCAATAAAATATAAACCCTGTGAGAGCAGACATAGTTTCTGTCTTGATTCACAGCGGTGTTCCTAAGACCTTGCCTGGGACCCAGCAAAGTGCATGTACTCTGGGAATATGTGTCAAGCATGCACCTGTCACCTCCCTACCACATTAATAAAGACCACATTTTGCAAGATTCCTTAAAATCTCCAAGGTTACATTTTTCAGGTTACCTTGTTTCACTAAATGTCCCTATCACTTTCCCCTACCCTATCCCTAACGCCTCAACTTTCCTTGAAATCTGAAATCAGTTGAACAAATAGGCCATGGTTAATGTTTTTTTATTTATCTTATTTTTATTTATTTATTTGTTTATTTGTTGAGAAGGAGTTTTGCTCTTGTTGCCCAGACTGGAGTGCAGTGGTGTAATCTAAGCTCACTGCAACCTCAGCCTCCCTAGTAGCTGGGATTACAGGCGCCTGCCACCACACCCAGCTAATTTTGTATTTTTAGTAGAGACAGGGTTTCACTATGTTGACCGGGCTGGTCTCGAACTCCTGACCTCAGGCAATCCACCCTCCTCAACCTCCCAAAGTGCTGGGATTACAGGTGTGAGCCACCGTGCCCGGCTCAGTTAATGTTATTTTTTAGGAACCTAATTCATCTCTCCAGCAAAGGACACCTGCAGAGATGTCCCCAGTCCTTCACTTCTATGTTCGTCCCTCTGGCCATGAGGGGGCAGCCTCTGGACACACTCGAAGGAAACTGCAAGGGAAACTGCCACAGCTACAGGGCGTCGAGACTGAACTGTGCTACAATGTGAACTGGACAGGTCGGGCCCAGGCATTGGATTCTTGGGGGACATGCCTCGGTGCTGGGGGCAGTGTCTCAAGGTGTCCTTGCCCTGTCTCCCTGCAGCTGAGGCCCTCCCCAGTGCTGAGGAGATGAAGAAGCTGATGTGGCTGTTTGGTTGCCCGTTATTGCTGGATGATGTTGCTCAGGAGTCCTGGCTCCTTTCTGGCTCCAGTGACCTGCTGCTGGAGGTTGGGCCCAGGTAAGTATCTCATCCTGCCCACTCCTTTCTCCTGCTTTCCTCCGCTTCCTCTTGTGATCCTTGGGAGATTTGTTTTTCCTTTGCTCTTTGCTACTTCCTGCCTAGGAAACCATGCATGTGCTTTCCCCATTTGGGTAGATCCCTCCAAAGACCACCCTGCTCCAAAACATGTTCTCAAAGCAAAATAAATTGGATTCCAAGTTAAAATTAAACAGTTTTGGCCAGGCGCGGTGGCTCACGTCTGGAATCCCAGCTTTGGGAGGTCGAGGCAGGTGGATCGCGAGATCAGGAGATCGAGACTGTCCTGGCTAACGCAGTGAAGCCCCGTCTCTACTAAAAAATACGAAAAATTAGCTGGGCCTGGTGGCATGCACCTGCAGTCGCAGCTACTCAGGAGGCTGAGGCAGGAGAATTGCTTAAACCCAGGAAGCAGAGGTTGCAGTGAGCCAAGATATGCGCCACTGCACTCCAGCCTGGGCGACAGAGCGAAACTCTGTCTCACAGGAAAAAAAAAAAAAAAAAAAGGTTTTGATGCTAGAGGATAGTTATGGTTTGCTTTGAGTGAACTTTGAAAGCAGGTTTCTTGTTGCCCAGCCTGAGGCTGGAAGCCGATGGTGAGGGGATAGCGGTGGGAGGTTGTCCAGACAGCAGTGGGCAGGATCCACCCTCTCATCTGAGGCCTGCCAGGGGTTCTCCAGTCCTAACCATCAGGCCCATTGCTCAGGCTGAACTTCTCCACTCCAACATCTACCAACATCGTGTCAGTGTGCCACGCCGCTGGGCTGGGGCCTGTGGATCGTGTGGAGACCACCCGGCGCTACCGGCTCTCGGTGAGGTGGTGGGGAATCAGGAGGAGGAGATGGGCCAGAGATAGAAGATTAGATCCTAAACTCTAGAGAGAAGCAGGGACAGGTGCTCCTGGCTTTAGGCCTGCTTTATATGGTTGTACAGGTTGTTCACTGCCTGAAGGTACCTGGTTAACGGGTAAATAAGGCAGAAATCCAGCCTATGCTTCCCTTAATCTGTGCATCCTGGCGTGGATTCATACCGGGAAAGGGCGTCTTTTTATAATCTGAGAAAAAGTGCCATATGGGGTGGCAGTGGGCTGGCCTTGCATGACTAAGAGGGTAGGAAGGTGGACCATTTCTCTCCATTTTTAAACTCTTCACCCCTTGCCCTCTGTGTGTCTGCACCCCTAGTTTGCCCACCCTCCGTCGGCTGAGGTGGAAGCCATTGCTCTGGCTACCCTGCACGATCGGATGACAGAGCAGCACTTCCCCCATCCCATCCAGAGTTTCTCCCCTGAGAGCATCCTGGAACCCCTCAATGGCCCTATCAATATACTGGGCGAGGGCCGGCTTGCGCTGGAGAAGGCCAACCAGGAGCTTGGTGAGTAGCTGGGGAGGGAGGTGTAGGGCCCGGGACAGGCCAGTAGGGGTGCTGAGATCTAGAATGTGGCTGCCTGAGTTCCATAGTCACCTCTTCCTGGATTTGTCTCCTAGGTCTGGCTTTAGACTCTTGGGACCTAGACTTCTACACCCAGCACTTCCAGGAGCTACAGCGGAACCCGAGCACTGTGGAGGCCTTTGACTTGGCGCAGTCCAATAGGTGGGGAGGAATGGGATTGTACTGATACCTGAGCCCGTGGATATTGGGAGAGACCACAGGGACTCGCCTTCATGGCTCTCCCTTGGCTTAGGGGCCTCCCTGAGTCTCCGAGGGCCTGGGCTCCCCTCATCCATCAAGGAGTCTATATTCAAATTTTGGTTTTTATCTTCACTTTGGCTCTGGATAATCCAAAATGACAGAATACTTGAAGATTATGACTTTTTGGAATATATTTTGATCTATTATCTAAGTATGAATTTGGCTGTAACTCTGCTGTTAAATGCTGGTGAGAAGACAGGGTATTAAGAAATGACCCCGTTTCCACCTGCCTTCCCCTCCCTGCATCGCCCCCTCAGCGAGCACAGCCGACACTGGTTCTTCAAGGGCCAGCTCCACGTGGATGGGCAGAAGCTGGAGCACTCCCTGTTTGAGTCTATCATGAGCACCCAGGAATCCTCAAACCCCAACAACGTCCTCAAATTCTGTGATAACAGCAGGTGGGTTGTGCCCTAGACTGGGGTGGCATCAGGACCCGGGGAGGGGAGGCCCCAGGCCCTGGTTGGGTTAGTGGGTTAGTGTAGATCCCAGAAAGGAAGCAGGGTCCAGAACGGATATGTCCACAGTGCAATCCAGGGAAAGGAAGTCCAATTCCTACGGCCTGAGGACCCCACACGGCCAAGCCGTTTCCGGCAACAGCAAGGTCTGAGACATGTTGTCTTCACAGCAGAGACTCACAACTTTCCCACAGGTGAGCTGGGCTCCCTGGAGAAGTAGGTGAGATCACAGAATAGGGCAGGGCAAAGGTCCCAGGTGCCTGGGCTGGGCTTGGGGAAAATTATCAGGGAAGCTGGTTATCCTTAATTTCAGTGGGGGTGGTCAGAGATGGGATTTGTCTCTGAGGCACCCAGACCTCTCCCCACTCTCTCTTTGCAGGAGTATCCCCCTTTAGTGGTGCGACCACTGGCACAGGGGGCCGGATTCGAGATGTCCAGTGCACAGGCCGTGGGGCCCATGTGGTGGCTGGCACTGCCGGCTATTGCTTTGGAAATCTGCATATTCCAGGTTCCATCTCCTTCCTCTCCTTCCACCTTCCCTTCCAGATTCCTTGTCCTGGCAGGCACCAAACTTTTATCTCTTAGGTCATAGGGTCATCCTGGGTGCCTTTTCTTGGGAGGGAGGGCTCTAAGATAGTTGGCCTTTCACTACCTATGGTCATTAAGTGTAGACCTGGGGAGATGAGGTGGCCAGACTGACTTTGCAGGTCCACGATTTTCTTTAGAAACTAGCCTTCATTCAGCCAGAAAGCATGATACTGGATTGGTTTTACGATCACCACCTGCCCCTCAAATCTGGTTTCTTAGAAAGCCTGAGAAACTCGGCCGGGCGTGGTGGCTCATGTCTGTAATCCCAGCACTTTGGGAGGCTGAGGTGGGCAGATCACAAGGTCAGGAGATTGAAACCATCCTGGCTAACATGGTGAAATCCCATCTCTACTAAAAATACAAAAAAATTAGCTGGGCGTGGTGATGGGTGCCTGTAGTCCCAGCTACTCGGGAGGCGGAGGCGAGAGAATGGCGTGAACCCAGGAGGCGGAGCTTGCAGTGAGCCAAGTTTGCACCACTGCACTTTAGCCTGGGCGACAGACTGAGACTCGATCTCAAAAAAAAGAAAGCCTGTGAAACTGATCGTGAGAGTCAGAGGGAAGGCTGGTGTGGGTGGTGGAGAGACCAGTGCCTCACTGCAGGCTCTACGGCTTCCTAAAACAGGACTTCCTGAAGTGGAACATTGCAGCCATGCAGTTGGTCCTTGGTGGTCTTGACCCTTCTTGAAGGATGCAGGCTGCTCCGGCCTCTGTCTTCACAGTTCATTCAGTTCATCTAGTTCTCTTTCCTTCCCTTCCAGGTTACAATCTGCCCTGGGAGGATCCAAGCTTCCAGTATCCTGGGAACTGAGATCACAGAATAGGGCAGGGCAAAGGTCCCAG